AAAGATCGAACACTCAGAAAAAACACTCAGAAAAAATTCCTTCGATCTGGTCGGATTCGAACCGACGTCTTCTTGCATACCGTGCCAGACGCTATACCAACTAAGCCACGGAACGATTTTCAATGTTTTTGATTAACAATTAAAACTGACAAGTATGATAAATTTATATATGGGGGTGGGTTAGGGTTTGGGTTGGGTTAGCGGGTTAGGTGTTGCGGCGGAGCCTGTCATCAGACCCGCCGCGGTGGTTGGGGGAGCAGCCACTGAACTTCACAGTTGAGTGGATGCTGTCCTGGCCCCCATGGCCCTTGGGTAGCGGACTCGGGGGAGTTCGTTGCCCAGCATAAAGGGGCCCGGGATGAAAGGCTCGTCTGGTGTTCGGCGAGCCTTACATTCGGAGTCGGGGGACCGATGTGTCTCCCTTCTCGGGGAGGGGCTGCGCAGAGCGCGGCCAGCCGCGCGGACGAGTGCAACAGCGTACCCGCACCCCCACCTACAGCGGAGAGGAGGAACACTCCGGGGGTTTAGTGCGGTCGGGCTCCCCTTCAGGGTTCAGCCCAGTCCCACATAACCCCGGCTCTGCCCCCGCGGGGCCAGGGTGTCTGTAAGCAGATTCCCCTGGATTAACAAAAAAAAAGGTTAGGAGGTATCTGTAAGCAGATTCCCCCGGATTAACAAAAAAAAAGGGGGTGCCCGAAGGGGTCCCGCCTTGTCGTGGCGGGGGGGCTCTAGTAGCCGTGGCCGATTTCATCCCACGATGAAGCTAAGGGGAACCCACGAGGCCGGCCGATGGTGGTAGGCTGGCCCGAGGAGGAGGGCGTTCCGCGCGGGGCTTGTCTGGTCAGCGGGACCGCGTGGATGCGCGTTGGGAGGACGGTCGCGGGGGGAGAGACGTGTCGGTGTGTCGTTGCCGCTCGTCCTGTCCTCCGCGACCTTGGCGGGGCTGCACCGCTTTCAATGATACAGTGGCGACGGGGCCGCGGGGGAAGAGACGTGTCGGTGTGTCGTTGCCGCTCGTCCTATCCTCCGCGGCCGAACGTGGGTTGTTGGCCCGTGGTGGGCGCTCCAAGGAACTCTCTTCGGAGAGTCCGCGCGGAAGTGCGTTAAGTGTTGCGACGGAGCCTGCCATCAGATCCGCCATGGGGGCTGGGGGAGCAGCCACTGAACTTCACAGTTGAGCGGATGCTGTCCTGGTCCCCCATAGCCCCTGTGTAGCGGACTTGGGGGAGTTCGTTGCCCAGCATAGAGGGGCCCGGGATGGAAAGCTCGTCTGGTGTTCGGCGAGCCTCACATTCGGAGTCTGGGGACCGATGTGTCTCCCTTCTCGCAAAAGGAGGCCGCGGAACGGGTGCGCGAAGACGCAGCTCGCTGCTCGCCTAATTCCCTAGTGAGGCCAGCGGACAAAGGACGGGGATCCCTTGCCCGCATTGCACGGTCTCACTCATTTGAGGGGATCGGTTAAGCGTCCGACCCTCCCCTCTTTAGCGCGGGAACTTTGGCAGAA